AGGGTGGACTCACCGTTCTGTCACTACTGTGGAAACGTCGAAGATAATATTAATAAAACTGTAGATTGTTTCTCTGTTTGAACTCACTAATCTCCGGAACTACTGAATGGATTTTCATGGGGCTTTAACTGGTATATAGAGAGTGACCTCGGACGCAACCTAGGGTATAAAAAAAAAACCTGACAAAGGGCGATGCACCTCCCATAGGCGTGACATTTTTAATCAACCATAACTTCGAAATCATACGTCACATGAATTTGAAGCTCTGCTCTGCAGCGCAAAAAATGGTGCCGACAGATGGCGCCGGAGTCGAGATATTTAGAGACCCCGTCTTTATCGTATGACCAGGAGTAACGGGTATTAACTTACGCTAGGAATATCAATGATTATGAAGAATACGGTAGGAATATCAATGACCCCGTTTGAACGGGTAAACTTTCATTCTGGGAACAGGAGGATTATAGAAAATTACGCACTCTTGGCAAACCTTGCAATACGTACAGATATCTCACAGGTGGAAATAAGAGCTCATAACATCGAAGAATATTAGTACTTAACCCAAATGCTATCTCAGGGCTATTATTCTTGGCCTATGAGTAAGCAAGGTTCTGCTCTTTAGTCCTTTCAACCTAAACTAATAAATTTTACATTACAAACCGTTTTTGTATAGCAACCCCATTTTTGTATATATTGTATATTCTTATAAGGCGTCGCGAAGCAAGCCAGGCATTTGCTAACTAAGTGAATAATCAGATTAATATTAACTAAAGTGTTACGAATGTTTTTTTTTTTCAAAAAAACTGGTGCTCCGGAGTTTTGTGATATGAAAAATGCATTTGTGATATCTATTTTTTATTTAAAGAACCGCAAGATGGCGCTTCAAAGCAAATCTACTATATATTTATGGGTGGCACCTCCCATAGTAAAAATTTTTAATCAGCTCTAACTTCGGAATTATAGTCACATGAACTCGAAATTTGAAATGCACAGATACCTATGGTAGGTGCTTATAGAAAGATATATGTATATAAATGAGTTTGTAAAAGGGGGCGTGGCACATCTCATAGGTGTGGAATCTTTTATCAGCTATAACAGCTATTAGTGAATTCATTGAATTGCATTTTGAAGATTTGGTATAATTGATCAAAGTGAAATTCAAATAAATTATAGATGATATGAAGTTCACCGGGTCATCTTCTAGTCTTTAATATATACTAAGTTAATATACGAAATATTTACTAAAGTGTTACGAACGTTATTTTTTAATACAATAAGAAAAAAATAACTATAATTTAAAGGAGTGACTCACAATGGCTAGAGTCGTCGCATATGTGTATTCTTTCATATACATATATATGGGCCGTTCTTACCCTGCAAAAAATGGACTCATCCGGGCTGACTCCGGGAGCAATCACAAAGGAGCATGCGGCTAATACCACTTTTGATCTCTTTATTTGGAATGAACTGTTCGCGTTTGTTCGAGCATGTCCTATGAAGAGACTAATTGTTCACCTTTATACCCGAACGGGTATAAAAAGCGACTAGTCACTTTTAAAAAATAAAAATTTAAAAAAGATTCGAACCCGGGTGCTCAGTTTTGTTAGGCGAATACTCTCTCTGTGTCCCAACGCCGCACATGAAATTTCATTGACTAAGTGCGTACATATCATTAAATCGTTAACAGTACCCGTTAGAGATGAGTTGGGGACTAATTGATCTCCAATTATACCCATAAGGGATGAGTCGAGACTAATTGACCTCCATTAGTACCCGTATGAGACTAGTTGCGACTAATTAACGCTGATTTGTACCCGATTGAGATCTCGGAATACTCTCTTTAGAGATTAGTCGCACAATTTTTTGCAGGATAGCGTTATATATTTTTCATCCACTCGATTATTCCTTACCTAAAATTTTTAAGTAAAAATTTGACAAGTTTTAACCGTTGATACAGTACCTGCTACCTGTAATTTAAAATGGATAACTGGGTAAACTTAATAAAGAAAACATATTCTCTGGTTAAATTAATAAACCTGCCCGGATAACACAAAATCCTAAACTTTATAAACATTTGGTGTTATAAAAGTTTTATAAAGCTCTACTTGTAACTAGGAAAAATGCCGAAAAAAAATTATAAATTTGATTGATTGATGGACAAAAATAGAGAGGGAGTTATAGCTATGACAATAGAATGTAGAAAAATGATACCTCGAGTTGAAAGCAAAAAGGATCTAAAACCAAAAAAACTATAAATACATTGTTAATCATAAAAAAAATGTGATTCGAAAAACAATTTTGAAATATTGTAAAATTTTACATTTTTTTGGTTTTTTAAAGTTCAAGTTTTATTTACTTACAGTAACGAACAAAAGTATTGGCACAGTGAATTTTTCGCAATATAGGCAAAGTTTCTAATTTATTTATGACAATTTTTTATAAAAACATAGTTCATACTACACCAAAACACATAAAAATCAAATGTGTAAACTTTGTGAAAAACTCGGGAAAATTCAATAAATTTGCATACTAATTTGCAACTTTCTATACAGATTTTTCAGAAAATTTCCAAGTATGCAGTTTAACAATCCATTCAATTTTAGTTTATCAAAGTGCAAATTAAAAACTTTGCATATATGTATTGCGAAAATTCACTGTGCCAAAACTTTTGTTCGACACTGTATGTACATATAAAAAAATACATACAGTAACGTCTCCTGTTACAATAGTAAAAAATATGTAATTTGCTTTGTAGTGTAATCTTCCGGTTCTTTAAATAAAAAATAGATATCAGAAATTAATTTTTCGTATCAATAAACTCCCAAGCACAGGTTTGTATTAAAAAAAAGAACTCCGTAACAAAAAATCTACAGTTTTATTATAGTATAGATTTTTATTATTATTATTAATATTATTATTATTATTATTGGTTTATAAAACATATTCTGAGCGTTCAGAATATATGAGTCTGAAAGGAGTCCTA